ATAACAAAAAAGTAACAGAAGAAAAAATGAAGATAGAATTGATAATGATGATAATAACAATAAGAGTAATAGGAAAAACGTAATAATGATGGGGATTAATGATAACAATAATAATAACAGTATTAACAATAATTACAGTAATAACGATGATGATAACAATGAAGATGAAAATAATGATGATGGTAATCATGTTGATGAAAATTTACAGTGATACTGGAAATGATAATAAAAATAGTAATAATTGTGATAATAATAATAAAAATGATAATAATAATAATAATAATAATAATAATAATAATAATGATAATAATAATAATGATTATGATAATAATAATAACAACAACAACAACAACAACAATAATAATAATAATAATAATAATAATAATAATAATAATAATAATAATAATAATAGTAATAATGATAATAATGATTATGATAATAATAACAACAACAACAACAACAACAACAACAACAACAACAACAATAATAATAATAATAATAATAATAATGATAATAATAATAATGATAATAATAATCACAATAACAATGATAATAAGATAATAATAATAATAATAAGGATACTGATAATAATAATAATAATGATACTGATAATAATAATCATAATATTAACAACAATAACAATAATGATGATAATAATGATAAGAATAAGATAACATTAATAAGATTAATTTATAATAATTTATTTTTTTCATTTCATTACCATTAGGATAAAGAACATTTAACCATTACGAAATATGCTGCGCTCAGATTTGGTAAAGTTGGCCTTTTGATTTTTTTAGGTTCCGTTGCGAAATATACGTTTTCTTTGAACAAATAACACTTTCGTTTTCTCTGAAATTTGCATCAAGCGGAGCCTGATTTATATCTTACGTAGGACTGCGTCGCGTCTCGGCCCGAGTTGGGTGTATAAAAGGCCCGATTTTCCGGAAGTTCCTCACGATCTCTGTGGCAGCATCGGCAGCGACTCCGACTCGCACGTCCAGGGCCCGGGATCGAGACCAGAGGAAACCCTCATCGGCTTCGGGAAAAGTTAACAGGTGTTCAACACTTGCTCGTGTTTGGCGGTTCACGAGTGTTCTCCAAGGAGATAACGTCCCCCTCTCGAGGCTGGATATTAGGCCCCTCAGGTCGGCAGTCACGCAGGAAGGAAGCAACAAGCCACTCGGTTGGACCGACTGAAGTTCAAACCAGCTGCCTGTAAGTGCCCAATTCGTGGCTGTTTTATCAATTATTATTTATTAATAATAATAATGATGATAATGATAATAACAATAATAACAATAATAGTAATAATAATAACAAAAATAATAACAACAATGATAATAATAATGGTAACAATAATAATAATAATAATAATAATAATAATAATAAAATAATAATAATCCGTGAGTGTTATTATTCATTTATTATGCACGTGTGCATAAGAGGGAGGAGGGAACAGACATAGACAGGTGGACAAGCAACGAAGGTCATTGACAAGGAGTACAAGAGAGAGAGAAATATAATTTAAAAAATAAATGGAATTAGTAAATAAATATAGAAAACTTTCATTACTTTCTAAAATCTCTCAGAATAACACTTAAAATTAATAGAATGTTTATATTCTTATATTGATTCGTATTATAAGAAAAGAGGACCAATTCAAGTAAAATGCACATAAAAGAAATCCTTGATTATGTGAATTTTTCTTATTTCATTTCTATTACGACACTTTCTAATTATCACAAAATATGTTGCGTTGACTCAACAGAATCTGCAAATGTCTGAAATAAAGATGATATAACATGACTAACATATTTATAACTAAGATAATAGGATAAGAAAAATAACAAGCGAATAACAAAAAAGTAACAGAAGAAAAAATAAAGATAGAATTAATAATGATGAAAAACGTAATAATGATGGGGATTACGATAATAATAATAACAATAATAACAATGATAATAATAATGATAGTATTAACAATAATTACAGTAATAACGATGCGGATAACAATGAATATGAAAATAATGATGGTAATCATGATGATGAAAATTTACAGTGATAATGATAATAATGATAATAATGATAATAATGACAACAACAACAACAACAACAACAATAATAATAATAATAATAATAATGATAATAATACTAATAATAATAATAATAATGATAATAATAATAATAATAACAACAACAACAAGAACAAAAATAATTATTATAATAATGATAATAATGATAATAATAATAATAATAATAATAATGATAAAGATAATTATAACATTAACAACAGTAACAATAATGATAATAATAATAATAATAAGATAATGTTAATAAGAATAAGAATAAGGATAATGATAATAACAATAACAATAATAATAATAACGATGATAATAGTAATAACAATAATAATGATAATAATAATAATAATGATAATAATGATAATAATAAAAATGATAATGATGATAATAATAATAATAATAATAATAATAATGATAATAATAATAATGATAATAATAATAATAATAAGCTGACATGAAAGATACAATTGGAAAGGAATACAAAAGAAGATTAAGCCTCGTACTAAGATCAAAGTTGAATGGGAAAAATAAGGTGTCAGCGATCAACACATGGGCAATGGCCATATTCCGGTATGGAGCGGGAATAATACAATGGAGAGAAAACGAGCTTAAAGATTTAGACAGACAAACAAGGAAAACAATGGCAATATATGGAGCTTTCCATCCGAAGAGTGATGTTGACAGGCTGTATGTGAAAAGAAGAGATGGAGAAAGAGGTCTTATAAGTATAGAACGATGTGTCAAAGTGAGGAGAGTAGTTTAAGGGTGTAGCAAAATTCGAGGAATTAAATGCAAGTGAGCTGGAGGAGGTTAGAGATCTTAAGACAAAAAATGAAAGCGAAGCGAAAGATAGGTGGACTGGAAAGAGAATGCATGGACAGTTCGTCGGAGACTTCACAGATGATGTAGACAAGGAGAAGACTTGGGGATGGTTGTCAAAATGCGATTTGAAGGTTGTTACAGAAGCCTTGATTTGTGCCGCGCAAGAACAATCGATCAGGACAAATTATGTGAAGTATCACATTGATAAAACGGCCGAAAGCCTCCTGTGTCGATTGTGTCTCCAAGCAGGTGAAAGTATTCAACACATTTTAAGTGCATGTGGAAAGTTAGCTCAAAAGGAGTACAAGAAGCGTCATGATAATGTAGCGAGAAAGATCCACTGGGATATATGCAAGAAAAGAGGATTGGAATGCAGTGAGAAATGGTACTCCCTGAAGGAGTTGTGGAGAGTGATGATGTAAAGTTGTTATGGGATGCAAATATCCAGTGTGATAATGTGATAGAGGCAAGACGGCCAGATTTAGTCTTGGTAGAAAAGAAAGAACATACGGCAAGGAACATACTGTTATGTCAATTATCATTGACATAACAGTACCGGCGGATGCAAACGTGGCAGAGAAGGAGAAGAAAAAAGTAGAAAAGTATCAAGATCTGAAAAGAGAAATTAAAAGACTATGGAAATTGAAGAAAGTAGAAGTTGTCCCTGTTGCTATTGGAGCTCTGGGATCTGTGATCAAAGGATTTGAGAAGTGGGTTGAGAAGCTTGGGATTCACTGCAACTTAGGTGTACTTCAAAAGACTGCGTTGTTGGGAACTGCCAGGATTTTGCGAAAAGTACTGGAGATTTGAAAAAGAAAATGCCGGTAGCCCATGGCCCTTTGTTATGGCCCGCCTATCAGCATAGAACTCGGCAATATGAACAGCCAGACACAAAGTGTGAAAAAAAGAATAATAATAATAATATGGCAATAATGATGATGATGATAATGATAATAATGCAATAATGATAATAACATTTTAATAATCATTCTCATTTAAATTTTCCTGATCATAGCTTATCAATCACAATAGATTTAAAATGGTAATAAAAATTACTAAGAAAATATAATTTACACTTCAAGATTTGTAGAAATCTTCAATGAATGCCGGAGATAATGGAATAACTATACGTCTTCTCGGCTGTTCATCATTCCCTCTATTCATTCTTTTTCGTGCATGCAATTCATCGATTTCATTGTAGTTGTAAAACTATATTGTTTCATTTTCATTTAGCGTTTGATAGACACGAGAATCATCGTTTGGCTTTATACGTCAGCTGCTGAGGAGTGATAGGAAGGAAAGATGAAAAAAGAAGAAGAAAAAAAAACAGATAATGCCAATTTCTTTTTTCATTTCATTACCATTAGGACAGAGAACATTTTCTAACCATTACGAAATATGCTACTTTTTTTATTTTTTTTTAGGATCCGTTACAAAATGTGCGTTTTCTCTAAATAAATGATACACTCGTTTTCTCTGAAATTTGCATCAAGGGGAGCCTGATTTATATCTTACGTTGGGCTGCGTCGCGTCTCGGCCCGAGTTGGGTGTATAAAAGGCCCGATTTTCCGGAAGTTCCTCACGATCTCTGTGGCAGCATCGGCAGCGACTCCGACTCGCACGTCCAGGGCCCGGGATCGAGACCAGAGGAAACACTCATCGGCTTCGGGAAAAGTTAACAGGTGTTCAACACTTGCTCGTGTTTGGCGGTTCACGAGTATTCTCCAAGGAGATAACGTCCCCCTCTCGAGGCTGGATATTAGGCCCCTCAGGTCGGCAGTCACGCAGGAAGGTAGCAACAGGCCACTCGGTTGGACCGACTGAAGGGCAAACAAGCTGGCTGTGATTGCCCACTTCGTGGCTGTTTTATTAATTAAGATAACAATAATAATATAATAATAACAACAATAACAATAATAATATAATAATAATAATAACAATAACAATAATAATATAATAATAATATTATTATTATTATTAATAAATGATTAAACATTTATTATAATAGAATAATAAAATATTTAAAATATTTATTTAAATAATAAAATATTTATTATTTATTCTTTAATATTATTATTATTTATTATTATTTAA